TTCAATTTTAAACGGAAAATAGTTTTTACAAAAGTTATTTAAAATTAAATTTCCTACAATTCTGCTTTTTTTTTTGTACGATCGATTTTTTTCGATTTATACCCGAAAAGAGGGGGTGAATTTTTGGTTATAGAATAACTCGTTTATTTTCAATTTTACGAGAAAAATTGTTATAAACAAAGTTGTTTAAAATTAAATTTCCTACAATTCTGTTTTTTTTTTGTACGCTCGATTTTTTTGTATTTATCCCTGAGAAGAGTGGGGGTAAACTCTTAGAAAAAATTGGAATCATAATTGTACCAAATAACATTTTTGAAAATCAGCAAAAAAAAACAAACAGAAAAAATAATGGTACAACATCAATAATAAACGTGACAATACAATACTTAGGTTCACCCCCACTCTTCTCAGGGATAAATACAAAAAAATCGATCGTACAAAAAAAAACAGAATTGTAGGAAATTTAATTTTAAACAACTTTGTTTATAACAATTTTTCTCGTAAAATTGAAAATAAACGAGTTATTCTATAACCAAAAATTCACCCCCTCTTTTCGGGTATAAATCGAAAAAAATCGATCGTACAAAAAAAAGCAGAATTGTAGGAAATTTAATTTTAAACAACTTTGTTTATAACAATTTTTCTCGTAAAATTGAAAATAAACGAGTTATTTTATAACCAAAAATTCACCCCCTCTTTTCGGGTATAAATCGAAAAAAATCGATCGTACAAAAAAAAAGCAGAATTGCAGTAAATTTAATTTTAAATAACTTTTGTAAAAACAATTTTCCGTGTAAAATTGAAAATAAATGAGTTATTCAAGATACAAAAAATAACCCTTTAAATCAAGATGGCGGAGGTAACGACAACTTTGGAATCCCAACTTTTTGAATTTAGACTACCAGAGACCCCCTCCAACGAATTCCGAAGGAAAATTGCTGCTTCGAATTTTTCAGAATCTAAAATACTAATCCGATTGGGCTATAAATCAAAATACAAAAGTTAATACATTTAAAAATATGAAAATATTTAATTAATAAATATAATGGATTAATCTTTCTATAAAAGTTTTACAATGAAAAAATACAAATAAATTGTAAATCAGATTACTTTATTTATACAGTATTGGCTATCAAACGTTTTCCAATGCGCACAAATGCATGTGAAAAATACATATAGTTAGCATAATGAGCAGGAAACGAATATCAGCGTTGCCAGTTTATACGACCCGGCCAACACTATAAAGAGGTCGGTCCTTATAAACTGGCAACGCTGATATTATTCATTTCCTGTTCTCTCTAATGCTTTCTGTAATGTTTACATGCACTTGTGTAAAACTTTCAGTGGCCAACACTGTATATTTGTATATATATTTTCAATTCGAAAAGCTGTTGCAGATCTAAAAATTATCACAACCTGTCACACATAAATTCAAAATTAATTGAGTTTAGGTCAATGTACTGACCTTCTAAGCATAAAAGTCATATCTGACAATACAATTAATAATGCTAAACATTTAAAATATGGCAATCCTGTTTAAAAATACAGCCGAGTTTGTAAAAATAATTTTTGAATGTAAAACATGTATTTCTGCTGTAGGTGATACTATTCATTAAAAATATGATGCACTAGAGTCAAATTTAGCCAAAAATGCAGATACGACTTTTATGCTAGCAAAATAATAATTATTATTAAATTAATGAGCAAAAGGGTTAAAGTCTGTGCGTTTGACCTAAAGCTAATAAAATTATTTCACAATTTTTGCTTCAATTACTAGAAAGCAAATTAATAAAGATAAATATTTTAACATAATTATTATCAAAAATTTAAACAGATAATCATAAAGAATATGCAGGGTTTAACGTAATGGCAGTGCAAATATACGGATATTGCACATTATGTGTGAAGGAAATTCAAATTAATAGTGGTTTTTGAAACTTAAAAATTTGATATTTTCATGTGATATCAGAATCTGGACAATTTTCTGAGCGTTTTTGTGTTTTTCTGTATTATGGAAGCATTCACAAATTGCGAATCCTATGAAAATGTATGAGGATGTAAGCTGTTCTGCTAACACATACCTACTATGAACAAATGTTGATGGTAAGATATCCTAGAATAAAAATTCCAAATATTGTTTCACAAAGGGCTCTAAATACTGAAGGCGCCAGTCACCTCAAACATATCGATGGTATTAATCAACAAATTTTGATATTGTGGTTAATAAGTAATTTTATAATTTTGTCAATTGTGTGTTAGTAGCATCGTATGGAATTACTGCAAGGTTGCTAAATTTATGAATAATGACTCTGTCATTAATTTGAAACACAACTTTGTTAAGACTTTTTAGTCTGATTCGGTCCATTGTATATCCAATTCAAATATATATACACTGTATTATGTTACACCCTGTAATTAATTTAAACGTATTTGATACTAAATATTTGTTGTTAACGAAATATATATCAACGTGTGCAGTAAAAAATTCAATAAGTACTAGAAATAAGTCATAAATATAATAATTGTAAAAATATTCTTATCTAAAATGAAAAAAATAATGAAAAAAATAATAAAAAAATTAAAGCCTCATTTCTTGCACATTTTATAAATTTGTGATGTTCATACCACGTCAAAACAAAAATTTTAAATATATATTAATTTAAGAAAAGTGATTGAAATAAATATGCATTATCGTTTTTAATAGCTTTGGAGCTAAATTATAAACTAAACATTTTAAAGCTACAGTGGACAGACGGAATGATCAAAATGCTCAAGTTAAGAATGCTTAATTACTGTTACGGTCCTGCGTAACTGCTTAAACAAACTTAATATAATTATAAAAAATTGCATTTTTTAAATAAATCGATTATTCTCATAAATTAGTCTGTGCCATATAACTGCTTGACTAGAATGTCCCAAAAATAAGCGACGAAACTGCAGGAAATGCAACAACTATTGTCAAATAAATACTTTCAAAAAAATCTATTGGTTCTCAAGATAAGTACCCAACACTGCAACAAATGCGTCTGTTTTTCAGTGATTTCAATATCGGTGTTAAATATCTCTAATAGTATTGCAAACATTGAAAATGCAGTGTTTTAAATGAATCTGGACACTAACACGATAGACTAGGTTTACAGACATCCGATTTATCCTTCAGTGTCAGATACATTGAGAACGGAGAGGTTTTAAAAATAAATATATTTTTTGAAAAAAATGGCTTCCTTTGACGTGTTACCTCTGCGTGTTACATATGTAAAATTTCGGGTACTCATTTCTGGGAAACTCAATAATTGGTATAAACCAGTTAACAGTCGTTTCACAGGTTCTCTGGCATATTACAAGTAACAACTGATCCTCAAAAAAATGTTTATAAAGTAGGTTATGAATGCCAAAGACAGATACACGGGTCATTTCCGTGATAACTATGAACACCTCTGAATTAAATCCAAGCCCTAGAATAAGTAATAATACAGTAGGGAAAGTTAATTTATTATGAAAAGTCCATATTTTTCTGCGCATGTCCGTAACTAAACGGCAACTAATAGTGGTTGAATGTTTTTATTGTAGTGTATATTTTAAGAGTTTTATTTATATTCAGACTTTTTTTAATTTTGTGTGATATTTTTGTTAGTTTGCAGCTACTTTTCTTAGTGTAGACATTTGCCATCAGAGGAGCCGATCCAAACGTCGTTACTGTATTATTATTTATTAAACTAGGTACAAAGTGTCATTTAAAAAAGAAGAATTATTGCATGCTTTTTTCCACGACGTATGTTAGAAACATTTTTTTGTGGATCACTCTTTTTCTATCTTCGTTGAAAACAGAAGAGTAATGCTACGTTTGAAATGTACCTCCTCGAGCAGAGCGAGTAGATTTTTTGATCACGTGACATCGAGCAAACCATATCAATGGAGCAAACGGAGAAAAAAGAACCATATAGAGCAAAACAAGCAGAACGAGGTACTTTTCAAACGCAGTATAGGAATTGCTACATAATAATAGAATGTTTAAAAGTAAATTCTGATATGCGGTTGGATTTTTACTTAGTTTTGTATTTTATAATAAATATAATATTAATATTTACTAAGGATAACTAGCCTGATTTTTAATATCCACATCATATATCAGTTCATTCGTTTGTAAAACTAAATTAATCACAACCTTGGAAAAAGACAATTTGGTTAATTCATATTTTTGAATTGTCTAAGACATACCTAAATATGCTACACGAAGAGAAAACAATATTGATAAATAGATAATATTAACTTCATTTATTTCAGTCATTAAGTTTTGTTGAGCTTATAGAATACATAAATACAACGTGATACAATACGGGATTCTCCTATGAACAGGAAATATATACCATGAAAAATATCAACATTATGTCGCTTCTCTGGTAGAAAATTGATGTTTTGAGAAAATTATGTGTTAATATTTTGTATGCTACAATAATAAATACATCGTCATAAAATACCTTTTTTTTAATTAAACTAAATATTGAAAAACTTTCTTACAATTAATACTGTAGTGTCAAAGCTGTCATGTTTATTCTTTTTTTTAGCCTCTTTCCATTTGCACTTTTTCCTAAAATTCTCACTTTATAAATTAGGAATATCTACCTGAACTAGAACGTGTGGATGACAACAGGCTTTTACGACGTTGTTTCATTAGTTTTTGCAAAAAGTACACTAAATTCCTCTTCAAATACATCTTATCCACGACACCAATTAGAAAAACTCGCAGTTGGGACGTCACAAACGTCTCTCGTAGCAAACTATTTGTACGATATTTATATTGTTTCACCGGAAAGTTTGTTACTTTTTATCAATTCTGGCACACGTTACTAAAAAATGTAAAATTTGCATTTAGGTGATGGTTCGACCAGAGAAGCGATATGACAAAAGAAATACCATAGCAAATTTTTGCAACTAAAAATAACTGCAGGGTAATTAAAATTGAGAAAGAAAGTTAGTTATTTAACTTTAAAATGTTTTGTTCCTAATCAGATATGTGGCAAAGGTGTAAGTTTGTTTCTTAGAGATTTATCTTTTCTGTTCAAGTATTGTACTTAAAAAATCGATTTCATCCTATTCTATTAGTTAAGAGAAAAGGAGAGAGATTTCACTGTTACTAACGTTGTACTCAGCTACCAGTTGTGCTGTGTGTATTCTGTTGTTGTGATCTGCACAACAGTATTTTTTTATGTTTTTACAACACCCTTTAAAGCACGATTTGCCCACATTCAAGTTTGAGCACAAATATAAAAGTTTTTCAGATAAGTATCCATTGATTTTAAACAATTTGGTACAAAATATTTTTCGGCATTCTCATAAGGCCACAGCACAGTTAAAAAGTTAAATATACTGAATCCGTATTAATAAAAAAAAATTGTTTATATGTTCATGTATAATTCATAAATAGATTAGGTCACTTCTAAATATTTTTTTAAAACACTTATAGCATTATTATTAAAACAAATCACGAATTAAAACAAGTACCTAAATTTAAAAACGTTTTTAAATCAGACCCTTCTCAAATTATTACTATATAATGTTTATAATCGTACAATCACTACAAGTCAAGTAAGCACTCAGGTTCCTCTACAAATGACGCCGTTTTAGTTACTGGTGTTAGAGCCTTCAAGATTATTGTCAATTTCTAGACAACGTTGCCACATATCAAACTAAGAACGTAATGTTTTAACGTATAAAAATCGCGACTAAAATGATGTTTTTCTCAAAACTGGATATGAATTAGAAAAATATAAATGAAGACTATATTAATTTCTGAAATTAAAAAACAAATGAGAATCCCGCTGCTAGCTGTTCTTTACTGTGCTTCATTATTAATATCTTATAATATAAACCATGCTTTTTATTTGTGACTTATATGCATATTAGTTATGTAGTACAGGTAAAAAAAAACAGCTTGAACAAGGGTGTAATCCTTTTTATACTCGTTTTACTTTAAATACGAGACTCAAAAAAATATATTCTTAATCATGTACATACAATTTGTTTCCGTTTCTTAATCTCACTCTTTAGGAATGTTTTTTGCATTTTTCTTAATAATGTAAAATAAAAATCAGGCTAATCATTAATCTCGTCAAAGTACTTGTTTCCATTTTTCTTCCATGTCTATCTATTTATTAGATATCTATTTGGAAAATAAAATCTCTATTCTAAGTTAAAAATAGTGAAAGTTTTCAAAATATATAAGTACTGAAGTCTTAAAGCTAGAAGAGCTGTGTACATGTAAATGTGTTTAAATCTTAAGTTTCTTCATGTGCTGGAGTATTAAGAGGACGAAGTACGATCCTTGGGTCTCGTTCAACCATGCGGTCTGTATCTTCATTTCTATATAATAATTTTATTGTTAAGATTTTAATGTCGCTATAGAAGTTCGAGGAAAGAGTTATGTACTGATTAATTGCTAATTAGGTTTGTTCCAACAAACGCGAAAACGATATTTCGGTACAAATCATGCGATGTATACAATTTTTGTGTACTGCTCATGATTTGTACTGGAACATTATCGTTTTCGCGCTTGTTGGAACAAACCTATTATTTATCATGCGTATAGGCCAATTAAATTAAACTTGTGATAAAAAAAATTGTTAACTGGACTTTGATAAGTGTAGAACAGAAGTAAAAGTTGGAAATGCTTTTGCCAGTTCTCCCACTTTATACACATAAATTGACAGGTTGGCAGCGGATCTCACCGAAGTGGATGCGATACATTGGCGTACAAAATTAATATGTTAATAACAATTTCGAGTAAATAGTTTAATAAATTGTGAATAGCTGTTGAAATTTTCTAAAATTATAATTTGAATATTATAATACATGTTTAATAATTATTTATAATCCATAAATATATGCGATTGTCCGGTTCCACCGATAACAATTTAAAATTACTTATTCTATGAAACGACACTGGCAGGCAAACATTACTGTGAAATTCTCGGAGCCGCCCGACGTGGTTTGACGTTTACCCCCTCTCTACCTACCAAAAGACTTTTCAACTTTTACTTTCTCTATAAATGGTGGAGGGACTTAAAAAAAAATTAAAAATGCAACCTGGGGGATTGAAATAAAGATTTAGAGGGTTGAGAAGGGGTGAAAAATTGTATTATCGGGATTTCCGGCGAAAACAAAAATGTATAATGCAAAAATTCTAGATCAAGCAAAAATATACAGCTTTTGTAGAGGTCACTTTTTAACATGACCCCAAAATTTTCGATAAAAATGCAAAAGTTCGTTTGAATTTTTTTTGTTTTATTTTTAATTTACGCAAAAATAATTTAATTTTGATGAAATTTGGTGACATTATACCTTTGTATATGTCTTAAATAAGCGCATTTTTTTTAATACAAAAATCCAATAGATTTCAAGATATTAATTTTTTTGGTCCAAAACTTTTTTAAAAAAAGAAATTGGTGTAAAAATATCGTACAAAGTTTTTCAGGTAGTCATTTTTTTTGACATTTACTGTTTGATAAAAAAAATAGTCACGATTAAAAAACTATGGAGCTTTTCATTAAAAGGGAGTGCTCGTTCTGCAAACGGGAATATTACAAAAATAATGATTCTACGACTTTAGCGCGACGAAATTTGTAGCCATTTAGTGGCACGAAAACTGCCAACCTCGAAGATAGCATCAAACTTCTGAAGTTAACACACTTCCCTGACTCGGTCATCACAGACATGGCCGACTGGGCAGAGGAAGAATACAATCCATCTGTCTATGATTGGCAAACTGCCAAACACACTGTAGACGATGAAAAAATAGATGGGCAATAACCAGCTTCTCTCCATTTAAATCGCCAGGACCTGACGGTATCTATGGTATTTATACCCAAACCTGGAAGGATGGATTACACTGTCCCAAAAACATACCGATCAATTAGTCTGACATCATTTTCCAAGAAGACATTGGAAAGGCTATGTGAAAGGTACATAAGGGATGCGGTGATTACAACAACACCACTACACCCAAACCAACATGCATACACCCCAGGCAAATCTACTGATTCAGCCCTTTATCTAGGTGCTGGCCGGATAGAAAGATCCCTGGACAATAATGAGTCCGCTTTGGGTGTTTTCATAAACATAGAAGGTGCTTTTGATAAAACATGCTCTCAAAGCGAGCAGTAAACATAAGTGTAGAAGATGTGAATATAAGAAGCTTGGAGATGCCAGGGGATGTCCGCAGGGAGGGGTGCTATCACCTCTGCTGTGGAATATGGTCCGCGACACCCTCATCAGCCGCCTCAATAATGACAGTCACTACACAATAGCATATGTAGATGACCTGGTCATTCTGCAAACAAGGAATTTTGAGAACATAACTCTGCGAAAAAATGCAAGTAGCTCTAACAATTATAGAACAGTGGTGCAAGGGCCATTCACTGTCTATCAATCCTAAGAAGACAGAAATGGTTCTTTTCACAAGGAAAAGGATGAAAATGAAATTAAAACCTCCAGAACTCCTAAACACAAAATTAATCTTTGCAACAGTACCTAGGTCTCACCGTTGACAGCAACTTAATATGGAAGTCGCATTTAGAAAACAGCGTTAAAAGAGCATACATTGCTTATGAACAATGTCGCCGAACCGTGGGTCGCACCTGGGGGTCGTCACATGGACTTACACATCATAAGAGCTATGCTAACATACGGTGCAGTTGTCTGGGTACCTAAAACCCAAAAATTAACAGCTACCCGTAAACTAGAACAAATTCAAAGAACAGCATGTCTCAACATAACAGGAGCCATGAAAACAACACCAACCAGAGCCATGGAAGTCATTCTTAGTTTCACTCCCCTTGATATTTACATCAAGGAGGTTGCTCTGACGCCAATGACACGCCTCCGCACGGTTGGACCAGAACCTGATGTAGGATCTGATGAGGCGAGACGTCGCTTTTGGCAGGAGGCGCTCGATACGCTCCCATTGCTTCAAGCGAATATGAACTCCATCTCAACGAGATATATCTTCCATAAGCCATATAGTTATAATAGAACAAATAGAAGAGCCAGAAGTGGCAGGTACGATTCATATCTACACCGACGGTTCTAAAACAAAACAAGGCTCAGGATGTAAAATGTACTCCAGATCCTTAAACCTAAACATAAAATGGGCTGTGAGCAATAGTGCCAGTGTAGTTCAAACAGAGTTAACGGGGATTCTCATAGCAGCAAAAGAAATAACCAGAAACAATAGCTCTGGAAGGAACATGCTCATTTATACTGATAGCAGACAAGCACTACTAGTATCCATCAACAATGTGGTCTCCTTGATGGATCAAAGGTCACGCAACATCGAAAGGTAACCGTCTTGCTGATTCACTAGCCAAGAAATCAGCCAACCTAATACTTTTTGGACCTGGCCCTTCTATTGGCCTGACCAAATCGGTAGTGATAGACCTAATTAAAGAACATTCCCTCGCGAAATTCAAGGAAAGATGGGATGAAACAAGCAACTGCAGTTGCCAGGGAGCTCTTAAGTTATCCTGACAACACACAGCAAACAAATACTTGACTATGACTAGACAGAATCTGCGCATAGTCACAGGCATTCTGACTAGTCATTGCCAAATACGGAAGCATCTTCATAACATGGAGCTGTCAGAATCCGCACTCTGCAGAGAGTGCGAAGAAGAAGATGAGACCATCGAGCACATCCTTTACGATTGCTCAACGCTCTCATTTATTAGAAGATTTGTGTTCGGCGAGTATCGGCTATCGATATAAGAGAAGCACCTCTTACCGACGTTGTCAACTACATTAAATCTGTAGGTTGGCTCACGAGCTAGGACGTGCCTATCATCTTAGGAGGATGCACAATGGGCATAATAAGGCCTAAGTGCAGTGGGGGTAACCTACACTCCACACGTTACAGATAAATGTATCTTCCAAAGGCAGGTGCAGAAATATTAATAGACTGGTTCCTACACTGGACCCAATTCTTAATTCATTAAGCCCTCGAATGTAACTGAATTGTTAAATGGAAGGACATTATTTAAATCATTAAAATTTACTGTAGCTGTCATAAGCGAAACTGAAACTTTCCAATTTTTTTGGGAGAGTGCTATAATCTGCCTTCCAGAAGTAGGTCAGTCAGTCAGTTTGACTTTGCACGTCAATAGCATGATCAACTTCGTATGTACAGCTTCAAAAAACTTAAAATTGCTGCACCAGAAATGTGTTTTTATTTAGAATAGTGCGTAAAACCAGGGAACTCCAATATTGGTCTGTTGTTTAATTAATAATTGAATTCAGCCATAACTATAATATCAAACTTTAAATTTATAGGGCCCATACATTAGCTTTGTTCGCGCTAAGAATCCTGAACCGAATTATTACTAATAGTAACGATTATGTAGGCGCAGTAGTTAAAAAGCGTTTGCGGAACAAAAAGAACTGAACTATTGGTTCTATTCTGTGTTCGCGGTAAAATTATTATTGATTTTGAACCGCTTGTCTATACCTGAAACACCGAGATATAATAGGGATTGCGCGCGCGGTAAAAATTTAGAATTGATACTGATTCGGGCATGCGCTCAAAGTATGAATTACTAATCAGTTCAGGATTGTTACCGCGAACGAAGCTATTGAATGTTCTTGCACCCGGCTGTAAGGGTTTGAAATAAAAAACCTGCCTTGCATTATTAAAACTTACATGAGATCCTTGTTCTCCTGAGGCATCAACTTGCTTTGCTCGCTATCCTCTTGCTGTGCAGGTTGATAAGCCACTTCTGAAACGGGAGCGTATTGTGCTGTCACAAGAAGGTCGGTAGAAGGATTAACTGTTAGAGCTTGACCTCCAGAAGTATCCAAATGATCTTTAGTGTTCCTCCAACACATTCGTCTGGTTAGGCGAATGAAGAAGACTGCAATTGAAGATATGAGTGGATGATAAAAAGCCCGAGTACTCAACAGTTGTTTCTAGATAATTTTAGTTTAAAATGTTAAAGTTTGAGCAATTTCGTAAGAACGTGAGTTCTTTTTCTCTTGTGGAAACTTGTTAAACTTAATAGTTTGTAATAAATTTGAGCTCAAGACGGATTTTATTAAAAATGTGACATAGATCCTTCTCCTATCAAGAGACGTAAAAAAATCCACAAAATAAAATTACCAACTCTAATATCTCACATAAGTTAGTTAAAACCGCGATTCGACCTTTCATAATCAAGATTCAGAGCCTTCGTTCGGAGTTTCTACAAACTGGAGTCGCTACTGAGAATATCCTACCGGGAGAGTCATACACAGGGAATTGGTGGAAAAAGTCCCGTATGTCTCCCTAGATTACCCTTTACAACTTTTCTATGGTTTATTGTTACTAGATTAATGTTTAATAATTATTAAATAATTAACCTTGTACATGATCGCGACTTAAAACAAATCTATGAATAAATGAAACAATATTTATGCACAGGATGTTATTTTAGTAACTAATTAATTTGGAAAATGTCAATTTATAATTTATATAAAGTGTGACAATATGATGAATATGTTTTGTATCGGATACATCTATTTTTACTATTGCTTATTTCAAAAATAATTATCCTAAGTCATAGACCTACTATAATAAACTTTATATCAGTACGTTTCAAATGTGTGTGCAGATAATACAATATTCATTAATTGCTCACATTGTACATATTTTACTTAGCAGTGATTCATACATTTAATATCTAAATGGTGTGAATTAAATTTTACATCCTGTAATAAATATCAAAACAAGATAACATACAAAACATTAACTTCTATCTTCATTAATATTTTCACTATAAAATTTTTAAATACTTTGTAATTGTAATGAAAAAAAAAAAAAAAATGTTTGGCAATTTTCTCATTTTTATTTCAGATTTAACGTTAAAAGTATTTTAATTATATTTAAGTAAATACAGATTATCTATAGAACTAAAATATATAAATAAAAAATAAGCGAAAATTGTGACTTTTATGAATCGTAAAATCACAAATCAAAATCCGAAAAATCTGAAATAAGTGGCTGAATACTTTAAAAAATTCTGAAACAAAACTCAAAAATCCCCCTACAAATTATTAAGACCATATCCTCGAACCCCAAAGTTGAAAACAAATATTTGGAGATTTGAAAAGCAACCTGTCCTAGCAGGGGAGAGCGAACCTAGACATCCTTGTATGCTAAACAAGTGCAATTTCCTCTAGACTATCATAACAATTAAAAATAAACAATTACCGGCAAAGAGTATCATTTATCTGAACGCATTTCTTTTTTAAGTAACTTTTTTTACTTACCAAACAGCAGAATAGATATGGCAAATAATACTGCTCCAAATATGGTGACAACCAGGAATATATCTTCTTTATTTTCAGATGTTTCTGAGTATCCCATTGCCCCCTGTATTAGCATAATCAGTCTAAAAATAAAAAATCTAATTAGAATTTATAATGCCATCCAAACTATTATTCCATTTAAAATAAAACACCTTCTAACCTCAAATACAACTGATACTGTGAAATATGGGTATTAAATAAAAATATCATAAGCAGAATTTAATCCATGGAGATGAAAAATTAATAAAATTGAAATTTTTTAAAAATAATTAAAAAAAAACATTTATAAAAATTGTATGGATGGAACGATATTTTCAGAAGTGACGTAGCTCAGTGCTACATTTTCGATGCAAAGCAAAAGACCTTATTTATACACGACCGAAGCAAAAATCGGGGAAGTCCCGTTTTATAATTTCGTTGCGAGGAAACGTTTGTGATTGGTAGTGAGTAACATTTCGAAGTCTCTTATATTCTGTAGTACTTTAAAACACGGCGTTTTAAACTTGACTGTTAATTGGAGGAGATAAAATTAATAATAAATAAAAATATTCTATTTAAATGGAGAGTTCAAATAAAATGGAAGCGGAAACGGGCGCTGGTAGAAAGAGAACGGTTGCTGATTATTTTGTTTTACTTGTTTAGTAAAAATGTTAACGTTGGAATAAAAAAATTTATTTTGATTAACAAAATATTTCATTTATGCACTGAAAAGAGTGAAAAGCGCAAAAATTTTTTTTGCCTATTTATATTATATTACAGATAGAAAAAGAAGTGGAATGTTACTCATCACTCTACAGTGTGCTGTGTTCGTCATAAGTAAAAGTACAAGTAAAAGAATATTCCAGAAATGTCATTACCCGTCAAGAACATTCTAGATGACAGGTCGAGAAGGTTCGAGAAGGTCAAGAAAGCTATATAAGTCGACGACCTGACGTCAGAGTTAGTTTTATGAGAGACGTTATACGTGAATATTATCAGTTGTAAAGTTATTGTCAAAGTTGAATTATAGTTATTGTAAAGTTCAGTTGAAATAAATTGTGATACCAAAAACCAGCGTAACATTGGTGACAGCGGTGGGATTTAAAATAAAGTTGCTCAAGCTTTCATGGTAAATACTAGATCCATGTGCGCGAGACCGATATGGATACTTCAGGCCCACCAGCATGGTTTTTGAAGATGGAAGAGGAAAAGGAAAGGCGTAGGAAGGAAGAAGAGGAGGAAAAGGAATGGCATAGGAAGGAAGAAGAGGAGGAAAAGGAAAGGCGTAGGAAGGGAGAAAAGGAGGAAAAGGGAAGGCGTAGGAAGGAAGAAGAGGAGGAGGAAAAAGAAAGGCGTAGAAAAGCTGAGATAGAAATTATTAATGGTTTGCTGCAAATCCAAGAAACCTTCAAGCAAGAGGTTAGTCAGCTTAAAATTAGAATAGATTTGCTAGAGCAACAACAAGAGCATCTAAAAGCTAATTTAGAGAAACATCAAGAGAATTTGAAAGCTAATTTAGAACAACAAGAACAGGCAAAAATAGAGTCGGAAAGGCAAATTAGAGCCGAAATGGCTGAGTTAGAAAAAAGAATTTACAGCCAAGCTTCAGTAAACAGCATTGAAGCTGCAAACACTACTACCTCGTCTTCATCCATAACCGAACCAAGTCACATTCGAATCCCAGTTTCACAAAACTATACTAGCAAGACCCTGAAACCACCCACGTTTGACGGTCAGACAACATGGGAATCATATCGACTCCAATTTGAAGCTGCAGCTAGAGCCAATGGATGGACCGAGAAAGAGATGGCGGCTTCATTAATAGTGTCACTGCGAGGTCAGGCAGCAACTGTTTTACAGTTACTTCCTCAAGAAGAACCTAGTTATTCATCTCTCGTCCAAGCTTTGGAGACAAGATATGGCCAGCAGCATTTGCAACGGGTGTTCCAAAGCCAGCTAAAGGTTCGTAGTCAGAAACATAATGAGAGTCTACAGGAATTCGAGGCTGATATAAGAAGGTTGATTCATCTGGCCTATCCACAGGTGCCGAAAGATTTCCAAGAACAACTCGGAATACAAGCATTCATTGAATGACTACAAGATGCGGAAATGCAGCAAATCCTTCGTCTACATCACAAGACACTGAAGGAGAAACTGATTGCAGCCCAGGAATATGAAGCGGTAAAACTCATATCCAGATCTTCTTGCGCAAAAATGAGAGAAATTAAATCCCAGGAAAGTGAGGAGACCCATACTAATGCTATTCCCCAACCTACCCTCTCGCAAATATTAAATATCCTTGCAAACTATACAACGAAATAACCAAAATAAGAACAAAAGATGCTTCAATTGCGGAAGAATCGGGCACCTTCAAAGAACTTGTAGAAGCAGAGCTCGTTCTATAAATAGAGAATCAGGGAATGAAGTCGGAAAGTCACAAAGATCAATCTTCCGAAGCCCAACAAGAAATAGTCACAGCAGCCGTGCGTCCCGAAGTAGCCAATCACCCACACCGAGCCGGTTTTGTAGGAATAATCAGGAAGTAGAGCATCGTAGAGTCCATCTGTATAGCAATGCAGACATTCTCTCCAGGCGACCCTGTTTAGAACGAGAATGCCAGTACAGTAAGGGGCTCGGAGAACGGGAGGAACCAGTTGATAAAGTTACCCTTCGGGCAACTACTATCAAGCTAGAGGGCGGCGAAGAAGAAATAACCCTTGAAAGTCTGAGACAGGGACAGAAGAAAGACAATGACTTAAAGGTTGTCCGAGAATGGCTAAAAAATAAAGTCACACCTACTTGGCAAGAGATAGCCAAATACAGTAAAAGGCTACTGGACCCAGTGGGATTCCCTGTATCTTCACGATGGCCTATTGCACCGGAAGTGGGAGAGCCCCGATGGAGTACATGTAGTCCGCCAAGTGATACTGCCGAGGTCACAGGTGAGAAATGTATTGGAGAAGCTTCATAGCAGCCGCTCAGGAGGACACTTTAATACTAAGAGGACACTGGCACAAGTTCGGAAAATATTTTATTGGGTCAACTGCCGACGAGATGTAGCGAATTGGTGTAAAAGATGTGATGTATGCAATGGTAGGACAAAGGTCTATGGATTCGCTCGGCAACGTTTGAAAGTTAATAGCGATAAAGCAGACGCTAGAATCGACATGCATGCCATAGGGACACATTTTGAGAGAGGCGATCCAGTATGGCTGTACAATCCCAAGCGCCGAAAAGGACTTTGTCAGAAGCTGCAACGGAACTGGGAAGGCCCCTACACTGTCCTCAAGAAAATCAACGACCTGATCTATCGCATTCAGTTGTCAACGAGAAGTAAACCCAAGGTAGTTCACATTGAGAAGTTAGCGCCATACCGTGGTTCAGATCCTCCCCGTTGGCTCCAACCAGATCCCAGTAGTCAAGTTATTCGGGGCGAATAACTAGAGAGGAGGGAGCAATGTTACGCAGCACCCTGCAGTAGCCTGCGGCTATCATAGGAAATGTACAGATAGAAAAAGAAGTGGAATGTTACTCATCACTCTACAGTGTGCTGCGGTCGTCATAAGTAAAAGTACAAGTAAAAGAATATTCCAGAAATGTCATTATCCGTCAAGAACATTCTAGATGACAGGTCGAGAAGGTTCGAGAAGGTCAAGAAAGCTATATAAGTCGACGACCTGACGTCAGAGTTAGTTTTATGAGAGACGTTATACGTGAATATTATCAGTTGTAAAGTTATTGTCAAAGTTGAATTATAGTTATTGTAAAGTTCAGTTGAAATAAATTGTGATACGAAAAACCAGCGTAACAATACTATGTCCAAGAATTGGTATGATAGAGTAAAAGTTTGATGATCTCTTTCTAGTAAATAAGGTGTAGTAGATACATATCTTATATTTTGTTTCATTGTTTTTGTTTTTAAATAAAGAATGTACTGACTAGTTTTTGGACACTTTTTTACAACTATATGATAGATATAATACATTCTTTAAGATGTCCAAAAAATGGGTAGTTTACAGACTAATGTAGATTTAATGTAATTTAATTATATGGTTTAACTACATCAAGGCATTATTGAGAAGCTGTATCCACTTTTTAAAAATACAGTTATTTTTAAATTAAAATGCTTGTTTACGAATGTTTGACATTTACTTTTAGATCCTTAAAAAAATATGGTTTAAAACAGGACTTAAGAGCAAAAAAATTGGAAATTTCATATGTATTCCGCCGATTCAGTTGAATCAGTCTTATAAAGTGTCAGTCAGGAATTAAGAAAGCTCGAACAGTGGTAACGGAAAAGAAATTCGAGCATGTTTTGGAAGACCCCTCAAGAGTGGGTATTTAATGGAGATGAATATGTCACCCATGGTGTCCCACAGCAGGCTATCAAAATATTCATTGTGTTTTAAAGTAGTAGTGGGAGTATCGTGCCTTAGCATTAGATATTTTCCTCGATAACCACGTTTTAGTAGTAGTGAGGTTTTGGCAATTGTACAGTGAAATCGTTTTGAGTTATTATGTTATCCGGATTCTGACACCACTAACGTAAAGGTGTGAGACACTTGGATACATATTTAGGGAATAGCACTAAGGAGTAATAGTAGTAAGTAATTTACTACTAACTATTCATTATTGAGGTGTTTTGTTAAAAATACAATTCTTTTAGAGAAGGCTTCTTATGAAAAAGAGCAAAAACATCTGCAACAACTACTAGCGGAGACTCTAACAGCCGTATGCATAGTCGATTGCCAGCGACTCGCCAGAGATTCATTTCGGCGCATCGCCAGCGATCCACCGGCGAAAGCCCAAAAAGGTGGCGACTCGCTGGAGATTGTCACCGGCATGTTATTTCACGCAAGTTTTCAATTTCTTTTATAGGGAAAAATTTGATATTCGTTCATTGTTTTTTGAGTTTTAAGAAATGAATCAATAATAAAATGCGAGAGATGCCGGTGATAATCCCTATAAAAGAACATGAAAACTTGCGAGAAATGACATGCCGGTGACAATCGCCAGCGGGTCGCCACCTTTTCGGGCTTTCGCCAGCGAATCGCTGGCGATACGCCGGAATGAATCTCCGGCGAATCGCTGGCGATCGACTATGCATACGGGTGTAAGTAGTGACGAAAGTGTAATGGAATTGCCTAACGATGTCAAATCAGATCGGGAAGAATTCCAGGTTATAGATAGTGGATCTTAACAAGATATTACAGCAGCACTAAAGGAGAAGGAGAACTCTGCGCCAGTTATAGTTGTGCCTGTAATAATAGAGTATGGCCAATGAACTTATTTGATCTTATGCTAAATGTGGGTGGGATAAATTCCAAAATTTTGCATGATGATACCAATGCTCCTTTCAAATTATTGAGAAGAAAATTCTTACGAAAATTGGCATCTGAATTGGTTTCTCTCCTGATGAGACAACATGCTATCATGACCAACCTTCCAGAATGTTGACCCTAAGATTACGAGAAATATGCCAAATTCAAAATGATGCTATCTATACCAGTTGCAGAGGTTAAAAGAAATGGAAGATGTGCATACTGTAAATAGAAAAAAGCGGATAACCTGTTTTATGTGCAACAAATGTGCCTCGAACATTTAATGCCAATATTAATAATAATAATAATAATAAATCGTCTTTATTAATAAATTGTACAAGGAGACGCAGTTTAGCTACAAGCTATTCTTACACTTAAACCAAAAGTACAATATAAAAAGAAGCATAATGCTTTTAATAAAATAATAAAGAAATTTAGATTTTAACTGATTTTATCATTAATTAAATTTCAAAATAATAATAATAAGTTCGAAATATAAAACTAGATATGAAATAAAAATAGAAACAAAATATAATACAATGTATTAATTTAAAAATAGTTGAAAAGTAAAGTTTAAAGAAGTAAAATTGATGTGAGAGTAGATTATTCTTTATTTTCTTTTTGGAAAATATGTTGTGGATGATGTATTTGCTTCATTAAGTAAGCATTATAAATTTTAACAGATTGGTAGGTAAATGATTTCTGAAACATGGCTGAATTGTGATGAGGAATGTGAAAAAGATTTTTAGAGTAGACATTTAGAGGGTCCAGTGCTGATTTCACAACTAACTTATCCAAAAGAGTTTTTGGTTTATTTCCTTTTATGACATATTATAACCATTTAAGTTCATACATTTTATGAGATACTCGATCATATTTTCGAAGTCCAAAAATAAATCTAGCACAATAATTTTGTACTTTTTGTATGGGGTTTTGTGTATAAGAATCAATAAAATTTCCATAGACATCAACTATATGAGAAAATAGACAAAACTAAGGACTCTGATAACATGTTTTCACCTTCCAAGACAGACTGTGCCTTTTTTTAGAAGGTTGTTTACATGCGAGTGGAAATTGAGATCAGAGTCAAACAGAATGCCTAGATTCTTTATGGAATCCGCTATAGGTAAAGTTAGTTGATCAATTTTTATGGAAAGACTTTGACTAAGGTAATTCCGTTGTTTTTTGTTTCCAAATAGGAGTAGATGACATTTATTTTTATTGAGCTTAAGATTATGTTTAATTGACAATTTATGAATAAGATCAAGATCTTCATTTAAGGCTTGTTCAGCAACTTGATAATTATTACTATCAATGTAGTAATAAAATTGGGAGTCATCAGCATATCCTTGTATTTTACAGTTTCGAACAGATGTCAAGATATTACTGGTATATAAAATAAAAAGCATAGGTCCTAATATTGAGCCCTGTGGCACACCAGACCTTACGTTTTGTAATGAAGAAAATTCATTATTTAAAAGAACTTTTTGACTACGGTTAGACAAATATGAATGAATGAGATGAATAGAATTTTCAGAAAAACCAAAATATTTTAGTTTGAAACAAAGTAGATTGTGATTGATAGTATCAAATGCTTTGGAATAGTTCAAAGCAACAAGTCCTGTAATTTGTCTTCTTTCTATATTTCTTACAATATCATCAGTAACTTGAGAAAGTGTAACAGATGTATTGTAGCCACTTCAGAAACCAGCCTGGCAATGTGGAAGTATTTTGTGTTCACCAATATAAAGGGAAATTCTATTATAGATAGCCTTTTCAAGAATTTAGGAACACTGCAGTCAGAATACTAAGGCCTTAAATCAGAAAAATGTTGAGGTTATGCAACTTTACAAAGTGGTCTAATTGTTGCAATTTTCCAAGATGTTGGAAAGTAGTTTCTTTGAATACAACAGTTTAGAAGATGTGTAATGTAATTATCAATATGCGGACTACAGTACTTCAGCATGGAGATTGACAGCATCAGAACCCATGGTATTATATTTGATAATATGGATTAGTTTATTAAATTTTCTGACAGTTATAAAATCAAATGCAAATTTGTTTTCATGCAAATTAGGTAGTGCTGAATTATTATAATATTCTAATAGGTCATCATCTACTTCATTATCAACAAAAACAGAACAAAAGTACTTATTTATTTCTTCGGGTTTCTGCAGGGAAATAGGTATGGTTATTTCTTGCTTTCTAAACTGAAGATTATTTAGAGCCTTCCATAAATCCTTGGATTTATGGATAAGTTAACCAGGGTGCATATGGGTTAGTAATACGTATAGTTTTTAATGGTGCCTGTTTGTCAAACAAAAGAATAGCTTGTTCTGTGAGAAACTGCACTCTATCATCAATATTTTTAATATTGAATTTTTCATGAAATGGAGTATTTATTAAATCATTGAAAAAACTGTCAGTCAAAATTTTTAGAATCTCTAAATGTATTAAATTTAGGTTTATTTCTTATTTTTTTAAATTCCAAACTACAGAAAGAGTACCCACAGTCAGAAAAATGTGTGACTGTCGTGGAAACATTACCCAACCAGACTAAAAAGTGATAAAACCGCCTTTTAGACTACAATAGTTATTATATTTTACCCTTATAGTCTCAAATTTAGTTGCTAAAAACCAATGATCATGTATTTTTAAGATTATACGTTTTTAAATTGTTTGTATTTCTTTTTTCTAATAAAAAATTACCAAATTAAATTATTTTGGTAATAAAGCTACTTTTACTGTCTATTATTAACAGATGTTGTACTAAATATTACTTGAACTGATCAGTTATATCTCATTTTTAAAAAAAAGATGTCTTGGTGTGACACACCAGGGTTACTACTAAATTCCAAATTTTTGGGGTAACTACTGGAAGGTTAAAGGTGCTTTTCCCAGCTTATTCTTAATTATTTTTAAAAAATATTTACATATTTTGCCTTTTCCTTCTCAATACTCCATTGATTACTTATGGCCCTGTACAAGTAGTATACACTGAAAAATAACTCAATTAGGTACGTTTTCCCGCCAAGAATTGCTTAAGTGTCCGATAACCAGTGGGATCACCATACTTGTTGCAAGAGCTGCAGTTTTAGTATTAGCAAGACAAATGTAAACTGGAAAATGATCAGTAATATTAGTAATTATTAATTAAAGGTTGACACATAGTGTAATGTACTGGATATATTATTTTTTCCAATTAATAGTTGATCTAAAAAACTTTTAGCAATTACTTTAACTCTTGTGTGAGTGTTAATGTGTGAAACAAAACCACATGACATATGCATTGCCAAATAGTTGTTGCTTACACATTGTTCATATCAAGTATGTCAAAGTTTATTCAAATTAGATATACCTATGTTTCCAAATCTTCAATAAACTTATTTGAAGATGTGGATGGTGGCCTGTAGTTGTTATATTTCTTTAATCTAAATGTTAATTATAACACTAGATATGGGAAGAAGGTACTGTATTTTTTATATCAAAGCTGATTTTTTTATTAACAAATGTAAAATGGCTATTTTCATTTAGGACACTATTATTAAATATAGTTTCAAACCTTGGAATAGCAAAATTATTCAAATCGGGGATGAACCTTGTTTCACCTAAAATTATAATATCAATACTTGTTTGCTTATTTGCAGTCAGAAATATCAAAAACTGGATACAAATTCCAAAAAGCGCTTCTGTATTAAGTATAATTTGATTAAACTCACATTTAAAACAATATTAGTATTTGAAGCATTGAATGTAAGATAAAAATGATACTTGGACAATATCATTGTTATAAATAAGGAATGAATCTGGCCCCAATACTATACCCTGCAGGACACCACTGTTGACAAGGGTTTGTGAGGATGACTTATTGTTTGAAATAATTTGTTTAGCAAACAACTTACCCAATAATAAAACAAGCAACACATGTCGAGACAAGAACTATGGGAAGCACATTTCTGGACGGTAAACAACTTATTCCACATGGTCTTCTAGCACTCTGTGATACTGATGATGCTAAATAGCTTATTGGTCTGTCTTGCCACCTTTCTTGTGGACCATTTGATTCGTAGGTAATTGTTGTAGGTTGATATACTGCTCCAGACATTGTGGATAAATATTAATTGCTGGAAAATTGAAAAGTTTTAGATTTTTTTAACAGATTGAAACTATAACTCCCAAACTTGTTTGATATACCTAGAGGTTATGTTTTGGAATTTTAAAGGCTGGATTAAATATTAATACGATTCATTAAAAAAAACATACAAGTATCGATTTTTCTACTTATTTTCTAATAATTATTATAATTTAACTCATTAGGTATCTTCCATATTCTATCCTAAGTTACTAAAATATTACTCACTATTGATTTTCTTCTGGTAAAGTAAGTCTGACTTCACAAAACAATTTATTTTATTGTTTTATTTTAATATTTAAACTGCAAATATACAATAAACAAAATAATTTAACAATGAAATAAACAATTTAATTTCCAACAAAACTTGGACGTTTGTTTGTGTTGTAGTATTTTATTTTCTAGCAGAATCCAAAATTAAATCTGTTTTCTGCAGTTTTTTCTTTATTAACTCTCCAGAGTGATAATCACTTAATCGTATTTTGTCAATATTTGTTTAATTTTTATTGTTAACTCGTACAACTCGACAACAACCGTGCAGCAATATCGTACAATTTTGATATTTGACGTTTTCTCGTTTTCTGTTTTTCTGCTCGATTTACCTACGCTTACGCGCAAGCGGCAGGTAGCCACATGGAAATTCTGGTTATCTCTTCTCACTCTTGTTGAAAGCTCTTTCTCTTTCACTCTTTCGTTTCAGACATGGCACTTGCAAGCACTTGGTTGTCCTTAACATGGGCGTTATCACAGCTGGGAAATGGGGTATTCAAAGTAATAAATCCGTGGGCCGAAGTGAACTTTGCCAAGCAAGATTCGATCATTTTCGTGTACTTTGACACAATTCATCGCATTTTTTAAATTCTATTTATGTAGAATCAATCAATAAAGGTCTTTAGTTTTCTAAAAAAACCTTCATTAACCCGTTTAATTAGGCAATTAAAAAAACTGTGGATTATTATTACCTCTTCAAATATAATCTCTGGAAGGAGTATATTTGCGTCCTATTCTCATAATCCATAACTTTTCAATAGTTTTTTTTGTGTCATCGGCTTCAACTGCTAAGGTTATTTCGCCTCGTGTTCTGTGTAGGCTTTGTTACTATTTCCCAGCGCCACTTTAGGAACAGCACTGTTAATTAGAACCCAACAGTGAATGTGGAGAATCCTACCAAGGCATCAGCATTAAATTTAAATAATTAAATTAAATGAAAAAATTCCGTAGGTATTTTTGTTCTAGGAATTTTATGGCCGTTTTTAATTTCAGTTTCGAACTGACACACACTGGTAGATCAAAGGGGGGTAATTGTCTCCCCATGAGATTAATAACCCTCGTTGATACCCAATGAACAAAAATTACCCACTCTATGAACCCAGCAAATTGCCCCCGCCATCCACGGGCGGATGTTACCCCTTGGGCTGGCGCGAGAAGTCAATTAAAACGGCGCCGTGCCAATCCAGCAAAAGAATTAAAAATAATTAATTTTTATTTTTTTATTAATAAATTAACCACAAATTATTTTACAATAACTGATAAATAAAAATCAAACTCCATTTTTTTACATGAAAAACACAGGTAAAAATAATTATTTGTACTTATACATGTTAGATTTTTTTAATTATTAAGTCAAATAATTATTTAGTTACCAAGTAATTACAGATAGAACAAACACAATGACAACAGCAACAACAGCTGATCACACTAGACACTAAAGGCGACTCAATTCATTCTGCCAGGAGGAACGCTGGCGACGGCTCGCTACTATTGCATTAGTTCCCCGTACTCCCCTCTCTTGACTGCTGGTGTTCTTTGCCGTACTATAATTAATAAAATGTGTTTACCTGCTGACACGGCCATACTGATCTATATTTAGCTATCGAAATATTCACTTTTTTACTTTCCTATCTGTATACAGATATAAGGAAAGTATAGGAATCATGATTTTTTTCGACCTCGAGTTTTCGACGGATTTTTACGTTTTGAGGTCCCCTGAATCCGTTTTGGCTATTTTCGCGATGATGTCTGTGTGTGTGTCTGTATAACGCATAACTCATGAACCGATACACAGAAAAACACCAAATTTTAAACTTAAGCTTTGTTTCAGCGTCCAATGAGCTGATTAGATTTTGGGCAGAGTCGGAACATCTGGGGGGGTACTTTATAGGTGGTCATTTTTATATTTTATGGAATATATCTGTTATTTACGTTTGGAGAAGAAAATTCTTCAAATAAAAGTTACTTCTAATATAATTATCTATAATTTTTGTTATATGCAAAATTTTCCTAAAATGGTCCGTATTCGAGAAATTTGACAAAATGTAAAAAAAATAATTTTTTATAAAAATTGTTCAAATAAAAGTTGTTTGTAATATAATTCTCTATAATTTTTATTCTATACATAATTTCTCTAAAATGGACCGTATTCGAGATATTTGAGAAAATGTGTAAATTTCGAATTTTGAAGAAAACTCAAAAACGGATATAGAAAAAAACATTAAATTTTAAACTTAAGGTTTATTTCGGCCTGACGTGCAATGATTAGATTTTGGACAAAGTCGGAACATCTGGGGGGGTACTTTATGGGAGACCGTTTTTATATTTTATGGAATATATCTGTTATTTATGTTTGGAGAAGAAAATTGTTCAATTAACAGTTACTTCTAATATTATTTTCTATAATTTTTGTTTTATGTCAAAATTTCCTGAAATGGTCCGTATTCGAGAAATTTGACAAAATGTGCAAAATTCTGATTTTTTTTGTTTTTACGTAATAACTAGATAGGAAAGTCATGTGTTGGACACATCAGATTTTTTATATAAAGACTGGTTATTTATTTTTATTAATTTAATTTTTAAAAATATTAAACAAAAAGAAAAGACGTATCAAATAAAAATAATAAAATTACAAGATCAGCCGTCAAATTCTTCCCAATATTTTCGAAAAAGTTTTCTGATCATCCTCTCGTCACATTCTGAGACCAGGCAAAACTTTGCATTTTCAAATAAGTGACACAACAACCCATGTCTTATAATTTCTATCACTTTATTCAAGATTTTAAAATAATTTAAAACACAATCTGCTCTTCGGATATCAACAATATCCGTTCGACATTATTCAGTTAATATGTTTAAAATAATTTTAAAATTAAAGCTGTGCTCCTCGGATTTTGACAATATCCGTCCAGCATTTGCAGAAAACCCAACATATGCATGAGACCCAACATATGCATTTAGAGCATGAAGCTAGAATATTTTGAAACAAAATTATTTATTGCTCTTTTACAATATTTATTAATTAGTAATACAATATACTTACTTTGAAAAATAATTTGTTTTATTTGGAATAAACTTTATTAAAAAACAAAATATAAAAAAATATTTTTTTATAATAAATCATGAAGATAATCATTTAAAACACGACGAGTTACTTCTTTATTATTAATTCGCACATGTTCAACTTGATTAATACCATCCAATAATATATTGATTTCTTGTTCAATTTCTCTGGTTGTATTGGTAGCATTCTATCTTTATATTGTATAGCAATAATGTCATGCAGTATTAAAGATGGCACAATCTTTTAGCCATATATTTCCAACCTTTTCTGGCCTACCGCCACATTAAAAAAAACTTTCCATTGATTACTTTTAAGTACTTTCCAGTTGGCGACAATTGTTCCTCAAAGATCCCCTAAATTTGCCTTGGTTCAAAAATATACAAAGCTAATATCCTTTTTAAAACTCCAAAACACCTTTCAATGGGATGTCATCTCCTTATTTGGGATTAATTGAATAGATTTTCAGCTTGGGTCTTGGGTACGATGTTCCCCTAAAGGCGTTAAGAGGTAGCGGCTCACTATCTCCATAGACTTTGTACATTATACTTCATGTTCTGTTGTATACTTACATTTTTGAATAAAATTATGGAATGAGCAGATAAACAAGGCCAACAAGAAATATTATTGATTCGTAATTCAGTGTCACATATGGCTTAAAAATTTGGGGAAAAATCCTTCCTTATTTCTGTAATTTTCAGCTTCTGATCTTCCAGAAGACGAAAATTTTAAAATTTTAATCAGAACCTATTTTTATCAACTGGCCAAGAATAATTAATGTAACATAAAAACCAAATATAATTAAGAAAAAATCCTAATTAAAAAAATAATTTATTTATTACCTTAATTTTTATGTGAAAATCTTGCAATATTGTAGCATAATCCTTGTCTAACTGTCATGATGTATTCTGTAGTATCTGGCATGTATTGATAAATTGAGGCCTTAAAATTGCCAATACATTCAATCTACTAGCTGTTCCTTTATTGATTATATAAAAATAACCAATGACTTGCAACATGGAAGCAGTTCCCAAATATCTTAATGTTGCAAGATCTTTTTCTATGGGAGTCAGAGTTTAATTTTTATGTTACACCTGATTACACCGATATCTTGCTTATTACTTTTTAAATGAAAGCGTTACAAAAAGAGATTCAATTTCTTTAACAGGAATTTGAGTCCTTAGGTACTTACGGTGTTGCAGGAGAACTTAATAGGCTTCATTTCCTTATAGAGATTAATTTTTACTGAACATTTTATGTTGATATCGCTTTTCGATTTGGATTTATGATTTTTTTTAATTTCAACCTTCCTTAATTCTCAATTTTTACTCATATTTTTTTCAAAATCAATAGGCTTTCTCTCCTTATAAAGCTTGATTTTTGCAAAAAATTTGAGTTAAGATTTTTAATAATTCAACTCCCATTTTATTCAGATTTTTTTTCATTTTTGATTTATGAGTTTTTTTAATATTTTAACCCCCCTTAACCCGCAACAGATGTTTTCAAAATCAATAGGCTTCGTTCTCTTGTAGAGATTGATTTTTCTTGAAATTTTCAAGTTGATTTCATTTTTCGTTTTTGACATATCGTGTGGACAAAAAACGTGACCGTTAGACGGACATTTTTAAAAGTTTAAAATTTTATGAGAAGGATTTTGGTAGAAACAGTTTTAAATTTGAACCAATATTAAAAATTTTTGTTTCTTGAAAGTAAACCTGTAGTACTTCTCACAGACTACTGTGTGAAGTATATATTTGTTCAGCTATATTATTCGTTTTTCGGAATTTTTAAAATAAGGAACAACTACCTAATTATTTTTATATTTTTTATCTCCTACAAGACACACAGAGACAGGATTAATAGGAAAATAAAAGTAGACATTTAACAACAAAATTTAAAATCGCTGAATTTATTTGTACACGTCACGGGGTATTCAAGATATACAATTTCCAACTTTAATAATATATTTCTTCGCTCTCCAGTGATATCTGAAAAAATGTTGCTAAAGGACTTTGTAAATGGTTATAGTCTAAGATCCGAAGTAAGGTCGACCTTCACCCATCTGTTTAATGGATGAAAGTTTCTTTTTATTAAAAAAAATATGTTTATAAATATACCGCAAAAGGGTTGCCTAAGAAAATACGGTCCAGACTATTTATTTTCTTAAAATAAAAAAACGACAACCTGTAAAGTATTCCTCAGATGCTTTGACTATGCCCAAACTTTAATCAGCTCACCGCAGGATAGATCAAAGCTTAAGTTTAAAATTTGGTGTTTTTCTCTTTATCCGTTTTTGAGTTGTCTTCAAAATTCGAATTTTACACATTTTCTCAAATATCTCGAATTAGGTTCATTTTAGGGAAATCATGTGTAGAAACAAAATAATAGAGAATGACATCATAA